AAAAAAAAAAAAAAAAAAAAAAAAAAGAAAGAAAATTAAGCACTACAAAGATCTCTCACTTCAAGCTTTTCTTGCCAAGTGTCTGTCCTCGTTGGACAAAAGATTAACAACAAGCTGCAGTTGCACGCGCGATTTGCATTGAAACGATCACAGCCAGCGGTTTCTCCTTTTGTCAAGGGGTTTCGCGAACGAAGGGAGGATTTTTTTTCCTGCTCCTCCTCGGGAGGAGCTCGCTCCTTACCGTGATTAACCCGAAAAGGGTTTTTTATTCGGTATCTCCGAGCCGATATGTAATTCCTGCTGGCCTATTTCTGGCCGATCTAAAGGCCGTATCCGAGAGCACTTGGCCGTTATTACCGTGGATGACTCGGCTCGTTCGAACCAATGGCCCCCCTCCCTCTCTCTCTCGGCCTTTTGCCTTGGCTAATGCCTAAATAATGACGTGTATATACGCGACACGCGGCCTTATAAGTTTCGATAAATTTAATTACCCGGCGATGGCCACACGTAATTTCCTTTTAATCGCGCGTATCGTTGGAAGAAAATTCAGGCGGAATGAAACGTATTCTCTGCGGTCGGCTCTAAGTACAGCGAAAGAAAAACGAAAAAGGGAACGCGCGATATAGAACGAGTGTAATTAGATGGAGAACGATCCCGGATGGAGGAAATTGAACGACTTGCGCCAACAACAGAGACTGTGCGAGCCTCGTTTGCTTGAAAATTCGATTTATTCTTGCGCCTCGTTGAAGAATTTATTTATTTCTTAGCGTTGAGCGAAAAATAATTAGGTCTATTTATGTACGAACTGTTAATAAAAATAATAATTAAGTAATGAATATAAAAATTTGTAACACTTGTTTCGAATATGCACTTAATACATTCAATACAAATATACTGAAAATACAATTAATGTTCCTAATTAATATTAAAATTCATTGACACAATAAATAATTAACTATTCCAACAGTTACAATATATAGAACAACACTTTCTCGTAGAACACTCAAAAAATTTTTCTGCAAGTGCCTAAATATTCCCCGTAAATCATTTCATTTTACCACTATAACATTTGATAACCATAAAAAAAATATACTGGACTCATCAAAATCCTCGTGCTATTTTTGCGAAAATAATATCTTTATAAATATTCAACAAGTCACTTTTCAATGTATGGTTCAATCAATTTCAATTATTTTATAATTTAATAACATTGAACCATCGTGATAAACCGAATGGTGTGCAAACAACTCTTATTGATAAGATCACGATAACGTTTGTTTTCTTCACACGTGAAACAAGTATTAATTTCTTAAATCTCAACTCGACCAATTCAGTTTTAATCGAGTCCCTCTGCTTTGAATAACCTCCTGCAACCCCCTCCACCGTATTTCACAGTACGTTCTTTAAATCGGATCAATATGGCAGAGATTACGAAATATAAGATCGTTATGCAAAGCAGTGGCAAGAGGGTCCGGAAAAGCACGGAGACGCAGGCGATCCGTAGGGGGTGCGGTTAATGTTCGAGTTGCCAACAAGCATAGGGGATGGCTTTTTCGGTGATTTAACCAACGAGGGTTGAACGTTTGTTATTCAATTTGCGACCCCCCTCGGTAATACCAGCCGAGCTGCTGCTCTCTCTCCTCCTTTTCAACCCATCAGCCAGATCATCGCCTTTACGACCTTCATCGTACGAGGAACCATTCTTCCAACTCGACGACGATCATTTTCTTCTCCGACGCTCGGATACGATCGTCACCGGTTTGTTTGTCATCCGCTCTGCCGACCACTGTGACGTTAATCCTAGAAATCGTGGTTGAAACGCGAGCAGTTCATAATTCTGTTTTATTTCGAAATTAGAAATTTGTACCACCAGACCGATCAAAAGTGATGCGTAATTTTTCATCGAAATTTTCGCGGGACTGTGAAATTTTTGAGAACTGATCGGAACGAGCAGTACGCGACTTTTTTCTTGAGATATTTTGCGAGATCAGAAAGCTGCGTTTGTAGCATCAGAACTATCAAAATTACTGAACCGTAATATTTCACCGAAATTTTATCTTACCACGGATGCTTTTTAAACCATTCTTCTCGAATTTCAACAAGAATATAGAGAAAAACTATTTTTTCGTTTGAATTATACATCAGAGGATTTATTCATTTTTATCTGTTTTCAAAGCTTTGATGCAAGTTCCATCATTTACCTGAAAGAAAAGAAAAGAAAAATTCTGAATAAAAATCAAAGAAATATCTATGAAGGGCATTGTACAGGGATTGTGGCAGCTTCGATTCGTTTGGAACAAAAATAAGTTCCATCAAGTGATCAAACGTGAGCAAATATTGCTACATAA